GGGGGGGGGGGGCATTCAAAGCAGCGCTGGCTTGTTCCAACACGTATTTGAGCACATACCTGCACTTTGTGTGATGCATGCAACTGCGTTTATCTGAGGGTGCACACATTCATCCATTGACACAATCCACTCTTACCCCGAGGTAACTCCCCAGCTCCTCTATTAGCAGCTCCTTGAGCTCGCCCCGGCTCAGCGTGTACTTGTCGCCTTCCTTCCCCGAGTACTTGTGGAAGGTTTTGATGAGCATCTGCATGGCGCTCTCCAGGTTGGAAGAGGGCTCCTTGGACATGCTGGAAAGACGTCAAAAGGTTAGACTCTGTGGGAAAATGCCCGCTCCACCCCTTGTTGTATGCGTGGGGACACATAGCAAAACAAGGGTGAAGCCACCTCCACGAAAGAGACAGCTGAGCAGAAAGAAAGCAAATGAGGATTTTTTATTCTTTTAAACTGCTAATGCTGACGCAAAAATTGAGATAGTGAGGTCAGCTTCCTTTAGGTTCTACATTTGGATGGAAAGGTGGAGGATAGCGGTGGAAGAAGCTTTTCGAACGGTCTTACACACATTGTGTCCGGCATCTTGGGGCGTCTTGTGCTGGACTCGTGAAGAGACTGTGCACACACACAGACACAGATAAGTCACTGTCAACAACGCAGGAGTCTAAATTTGAATCTCGTCGTGCGGTAACAGCTATCTGGTCGCCGCTTGTGTAATTGGTAATGCGTGCGATGATCAACGCGTGCTCTGTCACTGATTTCGGTGTAAAACATGTTTGTTAGTTACTCATGTGGCAGGCTTATCAGCCGAATGGATGAAGAAAGTGAAACGCAACACCTAACATTCAGAAACTCCGAGGGGGGTGGTAACCTAACACAGGCAGCTCACACACATGCATTCAACTTTATACGGCAAATTGATGAGCAGAAGTTAAAAAAAAACTTTGTTGCAACTTATAGCGTAATACAGATGGACCATTGTGCATGATTTATAAACCGTTACAAAAGGAGAAGCAGCTGCCAGTCATTGGTTATCGTCTGTGGGGTGATGAACAGGCCAGGGGACACCAGCACTGGAAAATCTATAGGGTCATCTGTCTCAGTGACTGGCACAATACAATAGAGAACCATAGAAATGCTAATTCTGTCAGTAACACAATACTGAGGTAATAATGCCTATACTGCACCTAATGAAGGAACCATGTTAAAAAATGCATTAACAGGAAATATTCAGATACTGTTTCAGTCTTACGGTGCTTATTCTACAATAATAGTTGTTTACGCATCAACAAACTGGGCTTTATGGTTTAATTCTCTCCCTAAATGTTGCTTAGTTTACCCATTCAAAGCCTCAAATAGTCCAAACATCCACTTTTGACTGAAGGTTCTAGTTTATCAGATGCAGAGGAGAAAGTCCAGAAGAGCAAGATGTGTTTCTGTCTTACCTGAGTGCTGATGGAGAGCTTCCTTTGTCTCTAAAGAGCAGCAGGGGACTGAGCCAAGGCAGAGGTGGATGGGGAGAGAGTTTGCCACTGGTTTAAATATCACCGGCTCCCCCTTCCTCACTGCCTCCTCTTCCTCCCGTTGCAGGTGATTTCCCTCCCTCCATCCCCATCTTTTTTTTTTTTTTTTTGGACGAACAGTATACAGTTACAGTCAGAAGTTTACATACGCTTGCCTCATTTTGGGACTTTAAATGTTCGAATTGTTCTTTTTCAAAGTGGAATGGTTGTACAATTTCAATTATTAAAGAACTGGGTGAAAAAAGTAGTTTGTTGTAGATTTATTTTAATTCACACAGGGTCAAAATTATACGTACCGACTCACATAAACATCCATTCACCTGGATATTTCAATAAATTGTTCTAAAGGTTAGATTTCCCTCCAAGTGGACAAGGCCAAGGATCTTTAGTGGCCAGGACTGACTGCAACTGTGTTTTTTCTTTGCCAGCATCATTTCTTTAACAGTCCCTTATTGGACTGATCAACACTCAGAACAACAGGAAAGTTCAAGGAGCTCAAAGATCCAAGAAAAGGTGGAAATTGGTTAGGGTGTTCAGGAACAACTCAGGAGCCACTGAGGCTCAAGCCTGAGCCAGTTTCACATCACGGAGGAGAGGGTGCCGACCAAGAGAGAAGCCCCTACTCCAAAAGCAACACCTTCAAGTTTTGACAGAAATTTGCTGCCGCCCACGTGGAGAAGGCAAACCAGTCCTGGATGAAAGTTTTATGGTCATAATAATAAAAAAAATAGTAGAAACATCTACTGTTCGTGTTGTAAATAAATACTTTTTTTCTCCACATATTTCAAGTGACATCCTGACTATACATTCTGATGGTGCTATTAAAATCGTTCACGTTTTTGGATGCACTTCCCCTTTCACTGCGATGTACTTCTTATTGGAATAAGATGCAGGGGATGGGCGCACCGCATCATGAAGGACTCCACTCATCCAGCACACAGTCTGTTCCAGCCCCTCCCCTCAAACAGCTGAAGAGCATTCAGAACAGGACCACCAGGCTCAGAAACACTTTCTTCCCTGCAGCTGTTGAACTCGAGCTGCACTTAATTCAGCTTCATCTTACTTTTTAAAAAACTTTATTTATTATATATATTTGTACTCTTTTGTATTTATTTATTTATTAACTGTTTGGCTTCTTGACCTGGGACCTAATTCTGATTTTTGTACCACAAACATGCAACTGTGAGCTGGTATGACAATAAAAAATCCTTGAATCCTTGAATCAGTCAGATCTCTAATTGCACTTTTACGACTGGTTCAAAATGCTGGAGCCTGATTTTTAACTGGTACAGAAAAAAAGCACATTACTCCAGTTCTGGCCTCCCTTCACTGGCTCCCAGTTCACTTTCAAATTCATTTTGAAATCCTGCTGTATGTTTTTAAATCTCTGAACAGTTCTGCCCAGTCGTATATCACTGATCTACTGCAGCCATATGCCTCACAGCGATCTCTGAGGTCAGCAGACCAGACGCTTCTATTGGTTCCAGGCACTCGTTTTAAACTTAGAGGTGACAGGACCTTCTCTGCTGCACGTCCAAAACTGTGGAATGAGTTATCACTACATGGCAGGCAGTCCCCCTCTCTCACTGTTTTTTAGTCTCCTTTGAAAACTCACTTTTATTCCCAGGCTTTTAACAATGTATAAGTTAATTTTAACATGTCTGTATACTATAATGTTAACAATTTAGTATTAACTTTACCTCTGTGGGATCTATGTACTTTATCCTGTGTCCTTCGCTTGTTTTGCTGCTTTGGTTGGCCTTGTTGCTGTTTTATGTGCTTTCTAAATAAAGTGGTATTTTTCAGCTGTTTGGCCACAATGACAAGTCAAAAAGTCATGGTGTTAAGAATGGTGGTGGTAGCGTCATACTGACGTCATATGTCAACTTCACCATAAACCACCAGCTAGACGACTGAAACTTGGACAGTCGAGTGCTCCAACAGAACAAAGATCCCGAACGCACGTCAAAAAGCTTTCTGATTGGATAAAGCAGGCTAAAGTGAATTTTCTGGAAGGGCCTTTCCAAACCTTAACTCCATTAAAAATTTGTGGACTTTGTTTTAAAAGCCAGGTTTGTTTCAGGAAATAAATCAATTTAGAGTAAATGAACTCTACCAGTTCTGCCTAGAAGAGCGGTCAAATGCAGCCAGAAGCTTGTCGACGGATACAAATGGTAAATGGACTACACTTATATAGCCTCCTTCTATCTTATCAAGATGTTCAAAGCACTTTACATACAATCTGTGCCCTCATTTACCCCTTCATACAGCACTCTACTACATCTATACAAAGAATAATCACATTCATACACTGATGGGACACACATCAGAGGCAATGAAGGGTTCAGTGTTTTGTCCAGGGACACTTCGGCATGTGACTGCTGGTGGAATCGAACCCCCAACTCTTGCATTGGAGGACGACTGCTCTAACCACTCAGCCACAGCTGTACAGTGTGTGTAAATGAGGTGCAGCTTGTAGAGATACGCTTAACCAAATATACGAGGGGGTGTGTGGGTGCATATTTGAACCTGTTTATATCATGTGTGAATACAGAAAATCAATCAAATCTCATTTTTCAGAATCATTGAAGTTATACGTTGTAAAATAATTCCACCATAAAAAAAGAATGGTTCAAATAAACCATTTAAAGTGCAAATTAATATATGACGATGGGTGTATGTAAACTTCTGACTGCGGTTGTAGACGTTTTTTTTTTTTTACTTTTACACACAAAGCGAGCCACACATTAAAAAGATATCGTCACAGTTTTATTCTATATCAGCCATTACATAGATTAGGCACAAATAATACAGCGTTACATGATGTGAAATATTAGTACAGCCAAGTTAAATGAGTCCAGCTGCTGAACACACACAAACATGTTCCAGTATTTTGCAGGAAATAAACAAATGGGAGTCGGCACAATGACCATAACACAAACATTTGTATATTGTTGCATCCTGCTGGTGAATTATTAACTTGTATTATTAACCATTTTCTGTGTCAGAATGAACGAGATGTATTCTTGTTGGCACTGGGAACACTTCTTGCTACAAATCTGTGTTTAGTTGCCTGTAAAATCTAAACGGGATGAGTTTTATGCCACAGAACAGGAAGAAAATTTGCCATAGAATGACGGCTAAATACAAAATAAGTCATGGTCTTAAACAAAAAAGCTCAAAACAAAGAAAATTTGTGACATTTTCCTGATGATATTCAAGCCTGCTCACATTTAATAGGAGTTTACTGGTAGTGCAAGTTTATTTAAACACATCAGGTCAGAGAATTTCGCTTGAACCACCCTGCTGTACCTTAGCTCTGCCACAGCAGTCCCACCTGAACAAGAAACCGTCTGTAGATGGTTCAAGGGACTGGCGTTATTCACAGGAAGTACCAAAACGCGTGAGGAATAAGTCAAAGGGTATAATAAACGTTTACACCAGGGGTATTCAACTAAATTGCTCAGGGGGCTGGACATCCAGCAGTTATTGTCATTAAGTATGTTTTATGGTTTAAAATCTAGTTTTATTTAAAAATTAACCCATTGGTGGACGGAACTGAGCTCACCTGTGGGCCTGATTTGGACCCCGGCCCGCCAATTGACTAACCCTGGTTTATACGGTCTAAATGCCCAGATTTTCCAGGCAGGTTGTTCGTAAAAGCGAACGCAGGAGGCATTTTTGCAGCGTAACAGCTGAGCTGAGAGGTGTAAATGAGAGTATTTACAATGGGAGTGTCTCGGTGATCACATGACTCGTACTTATGTCTTATTTGCTGAACAGCTTGGTGGTGTATTAAAAAAAGATGTCTGCAAAATAAAAGCTTTTTCCCCTCACCAAGTCACAAATCTCTAAACTGAAAAAACAAAACAACTGCTTCTAATTTTAAAAAGGGAAACCTTGTAAGGTGATTATAGTGGTCACAATAAAAAACTAGCATGTAAGTTTCATTTAGCATGCAACATAAAAAGGCCGTTGTTGCTTCTTGCTTAACAAAAGAGCAGCTTCTGACAGCAGCAACATCGCCCGAGGAGTGAGATCACTAGAGCCCAGGATTACTTTCATGCAATTGTTTGCGTCCCAGGGTGTGTTACTCATGAAATGCCTAATCCAGGCATTTCCAAACGCCTAATGCCCGAGGATCCCGTTGCAGGTCAAACAGGGCGTTCAAACTGTACAAGGGTGTGACCGACAAAAAAAGCGAGAGAGAAAAAAGCCCCAACAGCTGGGGCTAAATCCAGTAAACCATTATGACAATTTTTTAAAGAGAGCACAGGTATAGGTTTCTGTGTTTTGGGTCACCATTTCCCTGCACCAGATGATTCAATGTCCCAAAACGTTTTGGACTTTTTTCAGTATAAGGCTGGTTTTCTTCAAAAGAGGGATTAGGTTACACAGACACCATCTCTGCTCTGCTCTTCTAGTCCCGAAGCCCATTTAACCGGGACTATTTTGGGCTCCCTTTGTGACCCTAATGGTCCTTTCAGGTGTAGATTCCACCCGTGTGTCTTAATTATTTAGGCAAAGGTCACACCTGATGTTCCAGTTTGTGACTCGTGGCTGAGTGAGAGTATACTGAGCTAAAACAGAAGGATGAAAGCAAGACAGCAAAATTAGATGGGGGCGAAATTATTAGGGATGCGCGATATTATCGGCATGGCATCGATATTAGCGATACAGTTAAATATCGGACATCGGCCATTCCATCAAAATAATTCACTGATATGAAATCATCATTTTCAACCCCCTTTTTGGCATCTGCATTTGGTAGCAGGCCAAACTGACAAAGACCATGCAGAATAATGTAGTATTTTAATTCCACAGCAGAGAACGCTATGTAGTCTCTGTAATTAGGTCTAGGGGGAAAAAATATCAGTATTGGCCAAATAAGTTTTAGCATATCGGACAAAAATCCAATATCACGCATCCCTAGAAATCATTCAAAGCTTTAGCAAATCTGTTAAGTGCATCCAGTAAAAAAAAAAAAAAAAAAAAAAAGACATTTTGAGTTTGAAGGAGAAGAAAAAATACCGCTATCTTGTTAATTATTCCCGTAAATATTTGGATGGACGAGACAGAACGGTGGGAACAACAAAGAGAACATACAACAGGAATGTAGTGGCGTGTTACGATACTTCAGTCAAGTTTCCAGGCGAATGCTAGTTTACAGGGAAGCGTTCACAGCTGCATGTACGACAGAGTACAAGTGCATGCTAACATAGTCAATGATCAGAATGAGGTAAACGTGCTAAATGTTGGGATGCACATGCTGTACATATTAACATAGTGGTAACTGGCAGCACAAACGTCATTTACATAATTATATATAAAAAGAATAGTGTTTTTTTTAATAGCTGATTGTAGTGTTAAGACTTTCAACATATATTTGTATTTTATTAGATATAAAAATAGTGGTTTTCCAACTTGTTTTGGCATCATTCTCAAGTTGTAGTGTGTTTTTGTTGTCCCCTACGATGTGGCCTCGGCTGTCTTCCCTTCTTCCTCAGCAGCCGCAGGCGACTTCTCTGCGGCTCCCTCCGCCTTTACCGTTTCCTCCAGCTTCTCTGGCTCCTTTTCGGCCTTCACCTCGGCTGCTGCCGCCGCTTCTTCTTCCTTAGCTGCCTCTGGTTTCTCGGCCTTTGCTTCAGCCTTTACCTCCACCTTGGCATCTGCTTTCGCCTCTTGCTTGGCGTCGTCGTTCACCTCGGGCTTTGCCTCGTCCTTCGCCTCTGCATTTTCTTTGGGTGGCTCCCCATTGTTGTTGGGAGCGCTTTGGGCAACCTGTCCAGTTGCGGCGTTCTGCGCAGGCTCCTCTTTGCTGAGGACACGCTGCTCGCTGAGTGAACACGCCAGGTAGCCGACGAGCTTCATGTACTCCTCAAAGCCGACCCTGCCGTCTGAATTGGCGTCTAGTCCCTGACACATGTTGTTGACTGCGTCCTTGCTGTCTGCACCCTGGGTAGTAGATAAAGTTGTAAGTCACTGGATGAGCATTTCTGAAATCAAACCTAATAATGTGTTTCAAAATGTGCCTTAAAATGTTGCACAATGCGTTTAAATATGCTGAGTCAGCATTCACATTCTTATTGACCCGTTTTTTTAATTTTTCTACACATAACCTCATCTTGACTCCCAATATTTCTGCGTACTTTGTGCTATTTTAGTCATCCGCATATATCAAAAAGTACATCTTACTTAGAAGATGGCATCTATGACTTGTGGTTTTTGTCATTTTTGTACTTTTCAAGATATTTAATTTTTATTCACAAATATTTTCCCCATAAAAATACAATTTTTTTCAAAAACATTCTATTTGAAATCTGTTTCACCAGACATTTTGAAGTTTTGTTTTATTAAGCTACTTGTAGCTTTTAGCCAGCCTTTTGCTACTTTCAGTTTTTAGCTATGCTAGTTTATCTTTTAACTGGTCTTTTGATGCTTTTAGCATTTAGCTAACATTTAGCTTTAAACTAATGTTTTGCAACCTTCAGTTAATAGTGTTTCATGTGGCTTTTAGCTATTTGTCTGCATGTTTTAGCTTTAATAATACAGTTTCAGCTTCTTTAGCAAAGTAGTTCAGCTCAGTGTTCACTCAGTCTCTAAGGTTTGTTTCTGATCAGACAGACTTTCTTGTAATCCTTTAAAACGGTCTACTGGCTGCATTTTCATGCATTTTTACCTCAGTTCAGTTCTTGAAGATGACCATGAAAACAAACTGTTACTCTGTGATTTAAAAATGAGGAAGGTGGACATGTGAAAATCAAAAGTAAATGTATTGGGCCTAAAAAAAAACATCTGGTGAAGATGAACAAATATCTAAAAATCATATATGTAAGAAATGTTAAATGGAACCTGAGATAGGGCTGGGCGATATATCGAATATACTCGATGTATCGCAATTTTTTTTCAATTTACGATGGTTAAAATGGCTCTATGGCAACCATCGAGTTTTATTAGACTTGAAAACTCGTGTAGTTTATTCTCCTGTCTGCGCCGCCAACTTCACGCGGCTCCTCATTCTCCCTCACTGAATACAAACACAGCTCCTCACGTGCTGCTTCACACACGCTTACGAACGTCATGAAGATGGTGCAGCTGAAGAGGATTATTATTTAATATATGTAAATAGTTTATTTTTTAGATATTTATTTTGTAATTTACAGCTGTTTGTTAATAAATGTGCCTGTGTGCCAAATGGGCAAAGCTTTGACTCGGAAATCTATTTTAGTTATTACTTTATGGAAAGAAAAAATATTGAGATATATATCGTATATCGCGATTTATCTTAAAAAATATCAAGATATTAATTTTGGTCCATATCGCCCAGCTCTAACCTAATCCTTATCTTTTAATTGATCATCTGTTGCATGTCAAGTTTTCAGCTGATTTTGTTAAGAGCTGCTGGTGACAAAGTGCCTAAAGATGAGATTTAAAAGGTTCTACACTAGTTCATCCTGTGAGATCAGGAATCTTTTTTTTTTACTCTTGATTAATACATTAATCAGAGTTTAGCAGCCTAACAAACAAAAACAACCCACCAACGAATGACATGTCAGAAAATGGTCAAGCGGGACTCAAAACGAGTGATAAGAATTAGGAAGTCCTCCAGAAAGCCCAAAGAACTGCTAACTGCAAAAGCATGAAGCGGAAAGGCTGGCTTGAGACTTTTGCACAGAGCTAGCATCTCCGTGAGGCGAGTGCACATTTAAAAGTTCCGTAAAAAAAATAATCTTCTAACCGAAAGGATGTTGCCGAGCTGGGAAGAGACGAGGTTTTGGAAATCTTTCTTTCCTACGCTCTCTTTTCCTTTGGCCGACTTGAGGAAGACCTTCACCACCGTCTGAATGGCCGTTTCCATGACTCCTTATTCCTCTCCTGGGGGGAGGGGGGAGGGGGAGATGAGAAGTCACAACACATGGGAAAAACAGATTAGATCATAGATTTAACCGTTGTCGGGAGAAACAGTCAGATTTGGCCAGTTGTGCATGTACGGGAACACATGGTGGAAAATGGAACCGTCTCTGCGAGGCTTTTCGTTCGCAGTAAGGGACGGACGGTGACGTGAGTCAGACTGAGAGACGAGCTGCGACGCACAATGGAAGTTCTGATCTTTGATAGGTCATCTGATCTACTGATGCTACCAGCAGTGGACTGGGATTCACATTACCTGAGGGATTACCTCGTCACTATCCACTCTTCAGTTCCACTCCTTCCTTCACTTGCTGCTGCCTCATCCCCTAAATTATTACCGGTTGCACACAAACACCCAGGAACAAATGTGCAATTAGGCCTCATAACCCAAAACGAGACGAGCGGTTCTCTGCAGTAAAACCTGTGAAAACATTTGTCTCGGCCCGACTTTGACAGCGAGACTATCTGGAATTCGGAGCCGGCCCGATGCACAGATAACCCGCAGCCGTTGCTCAAACTGTAACAAGACAGCAAGCGACACGTTTGCAGGAATTCCGTTCATTGCTCTCTGCGGAGATCACTTAGACAGGAATTTACGGGCGAACTCGGAGCAACGTTCCTGCCCCGAAGCTGCGAGACAGATATACGTTTCGGGGCAAACAAACCCGCTCGCCTGTTAAGTTTCAGTATTCAAATGTCGCGGAGCAAACACAAAACTGTTGACTCTTTGTTCCAACGGGGATGCAGCCTCGCGCCAAAGGGCGGCGGCACATAGACGCAGCGTCAAACCGAGGCCTTCGCCTGTAACATACAGCATATACGCTTCATTAGGCTCGTTAGACATATAGAGTGACAGCGCGCTCAGACAACTCGGGGTCATTAAGGTCTAATGTTTCACTCAGGCCTTTTCAGATGAGGTGACCCAGTTCTGATTTCTAACAATCTGACCCGACAAGTTCCAGCGCACATTACACGTGGAGCTGGAAGTGTTATAAACACTAGAAAGCAGTTATTCTACCGGAATAAAGGTGGTATAACCTAAAGGTTTTATTAGCTCCTCCCCTTTTGTGTATATGTGTGTTTTCATTTGTCTTTTAGTAAAATATCTCCTGATCCGCTGGACGAACTTCAATGAACCTCTCAGAACGTAATGAACGGATGTACGTCTACAACTGTTTACCTTTTGGAGTCAACGTGATTTCAAATGGCCGGCGCAGCTAATCAGAGTTACCGGACACATAAATGGGTCGAACTCTGTCAACTTTTAAGATGTTGAGATAAAACTCAGTGTGATAGTAGCTGAGAGGGATTTCCAACACAAACTCTGAGCTCGATCAGATCCCGCCATTGTTTTATTTAATCTTCGACATTTACTCTTGGGAGTTGCTACTGTCTGTTAGCAAAATTTCTCACGAACCACTGAACAAATTAAAATGAAACTCTCGGAACGTTAATTCCTGGATGTACATTTACAGCTGATTAACTTTTGGAGTCGACCTGCCTCAAGATGCTCGCCACAGCTGTTTGACATTAGCAAACACAAAAATAGCTATAAGTCAGTCAGTTTGACAGATACTGGGCTCAAATTTGGTTTGGTAGTAGATGAGACTCATCCCTACCACATAATCAGAACGCCGACAAATCACTCGAGATGTCTTGATTTGGCGTGAGCCCTGGAATAGATTTAGCCAAAACGACCACATTTCTCAACATTTTACTCTGAAACTCCTTCATGAAAAGCGGCTGTACTGGTTTGATTCAGCAAAACACACGTTTTTGACATATAAAACGCATCAAGTGTAAAAAAAAAAAAAATCATGTAACAAAGGGTGAATAAAAGCTCTTTGTCAGGTTTATTTATTTATTTTGTTGGAACAAAAAGCTGTTGGAAGTTTAGGGGACCTCTTCCTGCCTGGGACACACCCTCTGCAGCCTGAGTACACAAGGGCCTTAACGGCTCAGTCCACACACACACACACACACGAACACACGAACACACACCCATCCTATTGACTCCATTCATTACTAAATGCACACGTGCCTCTAATTTAAACAAATTAATTCAAGTCTCTCCAACGCGCCAGAACTCCATGATCTAGTCCCAAACTAATCCTCCTGATTAGTTCCCCCCAAAACATCTGCACAAATAATTAAACACCCACACACGCACGCACACACAGTCCGACAGATTGCGTTTCCATGCGGGTGAATGTGATCCAGAGCTGCGCGCGGAGTCATGACAATACTAGCACTGCTGTGGCATCAAATATTAACAGAGGAACAAGTTGGGCTGCGACTATAAACTGAAGCGAGCAGCAGGAGAGGGACTACTTTCTGTAATCCAGCTCTTCTGTTCGGGTGGAACGCGCCTGAGCCGCTATATAAAACTCATAAATTTGTTTAAATAAAAAAAAAAAAGTTGTTATTAGAGTTTTACAAGCTCAGGATGTTGACAAGTTTGCAGGCTGTCTTGTAAAAAATGTCTGTAAAGGGAAAAGTGCCCCGTAAAATGCGCTTTTACGCACGAACCTGACACCTCCAGAATGTGTTGCGTTCACGGCCTGTCACTTCGAGTCACCTGGACCGCAGCTTGTGCGCGATCAACAACTGTGCTCAACAGCTCAGTGCACGAGTTGGGAAGAGCAACGCACAGCAGAGAGCGCGAGTCAAAGAAAACTGTTTGTTTTTTAAGTTTCCCCGTTTTCTAAAAGTGCGACAGGCGCGGAACAGTTCGCAGGACGAACTCCGTCCCGCGCTCACAGGCAGGACGCTTCTCTTGCGCGAGTTTATCGAAACGTGGCAACAACAACAACAAAAAAAAAGAAACCTGGACCAAATCAGCTGCAAGTACTGAGGAAGAAACTTTCAACAAACATCCTCTGAAAGAAGCAAAGCGCACAAAACTCACCGATCACCGTCTGCGGGACACGAAATGTGCGCAAATGTGCTCTTTCTACCGCTTTTGCTTTGCGCCCTGCGGACTTGACAAACTCGTACTGCAGAATCTCTTCCGTGATTTGGATTTTTTTTCCTGTCCTTAAAAGTCCCCCCCCCCCCCCCCCCCCGCCCCTCCAACAAGTCAAAGGGCGTGTACCTGGAAGAGTGGGAGGAAGAAGTGTGGAAAAGCGCGAGCGTTATTCGCGCACACTGGGGAATGAAATGAGATGAAATCTCTTAGTTTAGTGTGTTTTCTTTTTATTTTTAATGTGTTTGGTTGATGGAGCAGCTGTGTCGCGTCAGCTCGGCTCGCCTTTGTGACTTGGAGCAGATTCATCTGCTGGAGCAGAGGGAGGGAGGAGGGTGGGTGGGGGTCTTTATCTGTCCGAGATCAGATCATTTAGAAAGAATTTCACTTCACTTTAGATAAAGAGGTGAGGAAAAAACTGTTCAATCTGAATGCTTTCAGCCAGAAACCCCCTATCAGTGTGAATATATCCACTATAACACAGTAAACTCAAGGAAACTGACTGTTTGCATTAAAGGGATAATTCAGCTCTTTTTAAGTGGAGTTCTGTAAAAGAGTACTGGTGGGATAGTGGGTGTGCAATTTGTGTAACTTGGTGATATTGAAGCGGCGCGATGTAAACAAGAGCGGCACCAAGACAAGAAGCCTGAAGAAGAGCCCAAAAGGTAGCCCACAGTCATCACAAATATCAGATGAACTTCACAACCTTTTTACACTTTTGCAAAAAGTACGTACTTGTGCATGAGCGTGCTTGTGTCATTCCTGTGTGGTTTGGTTTTTATCAGCCTGTTGTTTAAGAGGACGACTGCAGGGTGCGGTGCTTGTCTGCATCACCCGTATAAACAACAAATAGACAACAGCTGGTCCGAGCGGGGCTAAGACGGACGTTGTTTAGGCCAACAAACTACATAAACAGTGTCATTAGAAGAAGATGAATATTGGCTAATTAACTTTCTTTCGTAACAGCACATTGTTATTTTTTTCTTTTTTTTGAAAGAGTTGTTTTATAAACCTAAAAAACGAAATTATAACCTTGTTTGGCTAGCTTAGTCTAGCCAGGACGATGGCTTTTGACTCTTTTTCTGTAATGCGTACTCCATCACTGATGTCACAGTGGAGAAGTTATTGAACACTTCAAAAGTTACCAGACTAACTCTTTAATTTAATACACAGTTATTCAGGCTGCACTAAAAGTTCTACGGCTAGCTGTTGTTGCTATTAGCACTTGCAGAAAATCATGTTTCTATGCTTTTTGTTGTTGTTTTCTTCTTTTGGTTGCTCCCTTCCTCGGGTTGCCACGGGAAACTAATTAAGACTTGGTAATTGTTTTTATGCTGGATGCCCTTCCTGATGCAACCACAGACCACCAAGCTACCACAGCCCTCTGTGTGGAGCAGAGAGCGGCCATCTAGGGTGCCCAGCAGAGCAGATGGTGGGGGTTAAGGGCCTTGCTCAAGGGCCCAGAGTGTGGGCAAATGAAGGTAGAGGCAGGTCACCTTCCCACATTTTGATGTTGTCGGTCCAGGGAGTTGAACCAGCGGCCTTCCAATCACAGGCCCACCTTCTCTAACCCCTGCGCCACCACGCTTCATGTATAAAAGTGCAAAATTCACAATTACATAAATGTTTAGAAGACGATCGACTAAAATCGGTCCGGTCACAATTAAAACCATTTCTCCAAACTGAGGCAGTTCAGAGAGCTATCTACGACAGGTAAAATATTAACTGTTCATAACCTTTAGATCCCCACTTCAAAACTATCATTTTAACAAACCAGCTCGAGTGAATCACCTTTAAAATGACCAAAGAACACAACGATGACACATAAAAAAAAAGACCCAATTTCACACAGATATGCTTCATTTGTGAAAATATTTCTGGTGTTGTAGCCAGATGCTTTTAGTTTTGTAGTAACCTCCCTCCACAGGTTGTATCTCCCTGCTCGTGTTTTTTTTTTTATTGTTTAAATGGATACCAGTGCTTATCTGGAGAAGCTCTTGACTACAGACAGACAGTATACAAACAGCCTTCCCCTCCTAACCGGGTACTGTAATCATTTCACGTGTTTTCATGACTCATTTGCCCAACCCATGCTGGCACCGTAACATGGGGGTTATTTGGATACAAAGGTCACTTTTACTTATCAGCATGATGCCTGCAACTCTCGTAGTCAAGTTAGTGACACCTTATTTGTATTGTTTGGCAAATTAAAACAGGCCTTCAAGCCATAAATCAGAAAGTGAAGCAATCCAGCTCAAATAACTTTGTCTAGACGTTAGATTTAATAACCGAATTAGCAAAACCTACTCATTGGTGCAAAAACAATAAGGCCTTCCAGACACAATAAGCTGCCTTTGGGCCATTACACAGTCTACTGAGGCCTCAATGATGGACACTAAAGACGAGGCTTTTTCATCATCCTTAATGCTTGGACAGGCAGCTTTGTGCGGACATTATAAAGCTCTATGGAACAAGATATGGTGTGGTAGCAGTAATCCATATCAGATTACAGACTCTTAAATCAAGGTTATAATACACTACTGCTCAACCAGACATCACATAATGTGAATGAATGACAAGAGACTGAGTGGGTGGTTGAAGGTTCAACACAGTGAAGCCTTTTAATTCAAAGTTCCCCTCATTCAACAAATGGTTAACTAAGAATGTACACATGTGGCACTGATGGAAGAAATCGTATGCTCTTTGGTTTACAGCTGAGCAGCCTGAACAAACCGATTCGACTGGTGTTGCACAACCGACAGAGTCGACTACTGGCTGAAGCCCCCCTGTTTGCTCGCCAGTTTCCCAATCAGCTGCCAGAACTCGAAGAAAGTCAGCTCCCCGTCGTTGTTTTCGTCTATCGAGCTCATGAGCTGGTCGATGGCTCCGGGATCGCTGGCGTTCTGTGGATGATGAGACGCTGATCGTTAATGGAGACGGCAAAATACTGTCCCGACACCCAATGACCCAGGGAGCTACTAAACAAAGTTCCTCACAATTAAAGTCTTTAGAAGCACTTCATTTAGGCTAAAAGGGTTATACAGAGTAAACATCTTACCTGCGGTAGATGACTCTTGAACAGTTTCAGTTTGAAGTTTAATTCTGATCAAAGTGACGAGCTAATGGCTAGTCTGAACGAGGCCAAGACCAAACTAAATTCATGTTTTAAAACAAATTCAGCCTCAAAATTTATACAGAAGTTGTATCAACTTTTACGTTGTTGTAATTTTTTTTCAGGTTATTCTCGCAGAAATATTCTGATTTTCCTGCACAAGTTCCGTGTCCTCCCCCCGGCTGCATCGAAAGTGCTACAGCAAGAGCTGCTGCCTCTGAAGCTCAAACCTTTTTAGGTTGGAGTCGTTTTAGGACAGCAGCAGTTCGTGTTGGTCCTGACCCCGATCAGAGTAGATTAGCTCATCAAGCCAGGCAGGATTAGACTCAAACTCTCCAGACACAGATCATTCAGAGCCACCTTCAACAGGTAAGATATTAACTGTGTGTAACTTTTTCACACAACTCAACTTCAAAGGATTTAAAATAGTAGCTAACGTAACCTTAAAAATATTTTACTATTCTGGTATATATTTTACTATTGCCTTCTGTCACTACACTTTACTAGAAACGTTGCATTTTTGGATCTTTCAAATCATTTTCTATTTGATTTTTAAGTGATAGATGAGCAAAAAGATAGCTATACAGTACTAGTACACGTATAAATGAAGTACTAAAAGCATGCCGTGTTGGGGTATAAGGTACGAAGCGTAGAGCTGTCACGTGAGGTAAAATTATTGTTGAGTTGCATCTCATTACAACACGATAACTATCTCCTTATAATAAGATATCTCGTTAAATTATCTCATTATAACGAGAAAATTATTTTTGTCATAATGAGATATCTTGTAAAATTATCTCATTATAATGAGAAAACTATTTCGTTATAATGAGATATCTCATTAAATTATATCATTATAACGAGAAAACTACTTTGTTATAATGAGAAAACTATCTCATAACAAAATATATTGTTAAACCATCTTGTTATATCAAGATAATTTAACGAGATATCTAATTATAACGAGATATCTCGTTATAATGAGAAAACTATTTGGTTATAACGAGAAGACTATCTCGTTATAATGAGATGTTTCATTAAATTATCTTGTTATAACAAGATAGTTTAACGAGATATCTCGTTATGATGAGATAATTTAATGAGATATCTTGTTAAATTATCTCATAACGAGAAAACTATATCATTATAATGAGATCACATTAAATTATCTCATTATAACGAGATAATTTTCTCATTATAAATAGATAATTTATGAGATATCTTGTTAAATTATCTCGCTATAACAAGATAGTTTTCTCATTAAAATGAGATAATTTAACAAAATATGTCGTTATGAGAGTTTTCTCATTATAATAATTTTACTAGATATCTTGTTAAATTATCTCGCTATAATGAGAAAACTATCTTGTTTTAACAAGTTCATTTAACAAGATATCTCATTATGAGAGTTTTCTTATAAAGAGATAATTTAACAAGCTATCTCATTAAATTAACTCTTTATAACAAGATATCGTATTATAATGAGATAGTTTTCTCATTATAACGAGATAATTTAATGAGATCTTATTATAATGAGTTATTTTCTCTTTATAACTAGATACAGCTCAACAATAATTTTACCTCATGCGACAGCTCAACGCTTCCATAATAAAAAGTGCTACACATTCAAACTCATAAAACTTACTTGGTAATAAGCATGAAGGATTGAACTCATTGCATAAATACTGTTTTTGCAGAAACTGTACGCATGCACAAACTGACAGGGATGATTGTTTTTTACCTTGTGTGTGTCCTAAAGTGCAATATATTTGTGATATCACTGTGTCAGGAAAATACATTTGTCAAATAACGTATTAAAGAGAATCCATGCATGTCCAAGCTGGACCGTCTCGTTACATCGTCAGTAAAACTCAGCTGATCAGGATGTTGATGAGAAAGAGACAAACCTTGACGAAGTTGGGGAGCTGAGAGGTCACCAGCTTGTGGAACTCGTCTTTGCTCAGCGTGTTGGAGGACGCATCGTGCCCAGCGAACACCTTAAACTGGGAGACAATGGTGTTGATGGCAGCTTCCATGATGCTGTTGAGTAAAAAAAATAAATGATTTAAGACACATTCTCATAAAACCAGGAGTTAAGAATTAAAAAAGCAGCTCGTTCTTAAAATTTTTACCTTGCTGTGTTTGGACCCGACGAAATGAAGCGGAGAAGATGCCAGGAGCCTGAATCTGTCAACTCTGGCCGTCACCTTCTCTAAATATACGCGCTTCCCTTCCATCACTGCTGCACACATCAGCGGAAAACCCTTAACCTGCCCTCATGGCTGTCGGATTTCCATGACTCTGGCAACGTCTGACCTACAAAAAGGGCAAATGTGTCCTGATGATTGGACAAAAACAACATTTCAGTCTGTTTGCAAAGAGTGGAATGGTTATGTGAAAGCATCAGGTGAGTCTAATCGAGGGATTGAATCCTGCATATCTAAGCAATAATTAGTTTATACAAAACATGACTCAAATAATGGTATGAAGGACAAAAACACTCTTATTGTGTACGAGCTGCAGTTTGTGTTTGTGTATTACAGTGTAAAGCCGCAAGAATGAATTATGCTGCTTTAGTTGTAATTAAAGACCTCGTTCTGCTCATTATTTTACAGTTTTACTAGAATTGAACTTTTCAGAATCAACAATAGGCCCTTTATGGGATGAACCACACACAAATGATTGACCCAGTTGCTGTCGGACTTGTAGAATTGATCAAATGTCTTTCTCCGTCTGGAGTTTCATAATCACCGACTTGTTCCTGCCAATCATCATGTCCGGTTTACGAGTTTGTCGTGTCAGCGTGGAGTGAGTTCACGGCTGAGGAACGTGTACGATCTTGCTCAGACAAATTCTCTTCGGTGTAAATACTTCAGCTGTGCATCATGGCTGCGATTAGATGCCATTCATGCCATCACTTCCTGTCAGAATGTGAGAAAAGAAACGCCGTGTGTCACGGTTACTGAAACTGGCATTTATACTTTTTCCCCCCATAGAAATGCTTTAGATGTCTTAAGGTTTTGGTCTTCTTTTGCTACATTTTACCTAGCCTTTTTGCCATATTTAGCTTTTAGCTACTGCTTTGAAAAGCTAAACGATCAGCTTTTAACTATCATCACCATTTTGATACTTCTAGCCATTCTTTAGCTACACTTCGCTTTCCTTTTCTAACTCGTTTATCTTTTATTTCACTTGCAAGTTTTTTTTAACGTTTAGTTTTTAACCTAGTCTTTTGCTACATTTGACTTTTAGCTTTTGTTCAGCTGCATTTCGCTTTTGTTTGACAAAGCTAAATGTTGCGCTTTTAAGTTAAACATTTGATGCTTATAGTGAGCGCTGGTAAGCTTTTAGCTAACCTTTTGCTAAATTTAGCTATGCTTTTTGTTTTCTTTATCACATTTAGCTTTTAGTTACTGCTCTGCTGTATTTTTCTTCTAATTGGAAAAGCTAAATTTTTAATACTTTCAGCTTCTAGTTAAACTTCTGATACTTTTATTAAGCTTTTAGTTAGTTTTAACTATCCTTTTGTTTCCTTTTATTACATTTAGCTTTTAGCAATTGTTCAGCTGCATTTCGCTTTTGTTTGACAAAGCTAAATGTTTCGCCTTTAGTTAAACATTTGATGCTTGAGGGTTATAGCTAGTGTTTTGATACTTTCAGCTTCTAGCCTTTTGATACTTGAAGTTTTTAGCTATCGTTTTGCAAGCTAGTTTTGGGATACTTCTAGCTTTTAGTTAGCATTTTGCTACATTCAGGTTTTAGTCTTTTGAGCTATCCTTTTGCCACCTTTAGCTTTTAGTTAAGCTTTTGCTACTTTTAGCAATGAACCACCATCTTCCTATTTTAGCTTTGAGCTAGCCTTTTGCTACTTTTAACTAGACTTTTGAGTACTGTTAGCTTTGTTAACCTTTTGCTGCTTATTTTAACAGCTCAACTTCAGCTTTTCAGCAAAAGTCACCCAAGTCCTTCAGAACTTGGTGTTCACTTCATTTAAAAACTTAATCACTTTAAAAATAAATATAAAAATATTAAATTAAAACAAATCCACACACCCTTTATAAAATCTCATCCAAACTATTAAAAAATGACATTTACACTTTTAATGTTGCAAATTTTATTGAAATCAACATTTACTCCATAAAAACGGGACACGAGCTGCTGAGGAGAAATGAAATATTCTAAATTAAATTCACGTCTACATTTTTAAAAGCTGTTGCCCCACAAAAACAGAAATACTTCAGATTATTGAATCAACTCACTTCATTTGTGTGCTGAGGTTAACACGCTTTCCTTCAAACCCTTTGGTCAAAAAATCTTCAGGAAAAAAAACACTTGCAGAGGAAAAAAAAAAACAGTTTAATACTTAGTGTGTAAATTCTGCAACAATCATTCTGTGAACAGCAGGAAAAACTCGAGTAAACTTCTTGAAATCAGAGACCTCTTGGTCAAAATGTAAGATATTAATAATTATATTAATAAAAGGCACATAAGCAGCAGCTGTTAAGCTAATTTTTCTGAAAAGCAACAGAAAAAAAACCCATTCAAACTGAACAAAGTGGGACAAAAAAAATTGTGGCTCCTCCCATTAAATAAGAAAAAGCGGTGCAGTGTCGTGACAGAATAAATACGAAACATTTCAAAGCTTCTCTCCGTCGCTGAAGAAAAGCAGTTTACACCCACATGATGATGGAAAATGAAAGAAAAACCAAGTCTTTACTATAAAGTTTGCTCTAGTTTCACTGCCTGGACTAATTAAAGAATAAAACCAAAAGATACATCGAAATCGTTCACATGCAAATCAGTTCAGATTTATTATCAAACAAAAAAAATTAATCGAGAAAACAAAGCACTGGTTTGTATGGCAATCCTGTTTTTGTTAAATCAAAAAGCAAATTATTTGGGGATTACTACACATTACTCAACTTTATACTTTTACCCAGCATGCCCCAGGATTGAAGCGCCTCAGGGCTACAAAAAAATCCCCGAGACAATATGTTTGTGAAATGTCTGAGGAAAAGTGCAAAAGTGGTTCAGCAGTTGAGTTGACTGCTCGGACGAACTCATTAAACCCACCAGAGGTGAGTCAGAGGATAAAAGTTGTTTAGGGCCGTTAGAGGTTTGTTTAGTTTGTGTAAAAAAAAAAAAAAAAGCTGACCAAAATACAAAACAAAAGAAAAACTGGTCTGACCTGATCTGATTATCATCACGTAACGTACCCGGATCTCCTTCTCCGACACCTGTCGGTCAGTCTGCAGGATTAGAGATTAGATTTGGTAAAAAATAAAATAAATAAAAACCAGGATGTGTAATGTGTAATATTGAATGAACTGTATAGTCATGTACTGTTGCTTAACAGAAACACAC